CCCCCCCCCCCCCCCCCCCCCCCTAGTTGCTTCTGTGTTTTTAAGCGCCTGGCGCGTACCTCGAGGAATTGGCATGCGCCTTTTAACAGTTGCCAGCCCATCTTCCTTCTTCTGCGGGCCCGGTTATGACCGTGGTTCTCTCCACCACTCTTTCACAGAAAAGGTGTTTCCATCCGTAACCGACAAGAACGTAGGGGAAGGATACGCAGAAATGACACATAGCCGGGGGACGGGCAGGGCAGGGCACGACGCATCTCCGCGGGTCCATTTTTATCTGACAATACAGCCAATTTTGCTGACAAAGCATCGTTTGTCCTTTTTGGAGCAAACCGTTCTAGACCATCAAAGTAAAATATTTATCACACTTTAAGCCATTTACTTTTGAAAAAGTGTGGCAGTCGTTACACATTTATATGCTGATGTGTGGCACGCGCCTGGGTAAGCAAGCAAGATCGATGTGTGTGTGTGCTGTTGATGCGCTACTCCTATGGCAGTACACACACCCTGTCGGGGGTCGGGTAGTATGGGCAGTGCCCTGTCGGGATCGGGGAGGGAGGGGAAGGGTACCTTCCAGGGCCTGGTGATGGGTTTTGGCAATCCTGTACCCCGCCAGGGTAGAGCCACTACCCGAATCTAAATCAATCAATCACAGCCATCAAGTTGCATCATCCCAATCAATGTGAGCGATGGCACGGGCACACAATGAAAATTCAAAAACCGTTTGCCTCTCTGTCTCTGTCTCTGTCTCTGTCTCTGTCTCTGTCTCTGTCTCTGTCTCTGTCTCTGTCTCTGTCTCTGTCTCTGTCTCTGTCTCTGTCTCTGTCTCTGTCTCTGTCTCTGTCTCTGTCTCTGTCTCTGTCTCTGTCTCTGTCTCTGTCTCTGTCTCTGTCTCTGTCTCTGTCTCTGTCTCTGTCTCTGTCTCTGTCTCTGTCTCTGTCTCTGTCTCTGTCTCTGTCTCTGTCTCTGTCTCTGTCTCTGTCTCTGTCTCTCTCTCTCTCTCTGTGCGCTCGCGTCTCTCTCAGTTGTCCATGTGGTACAGTCGCCCCCGCCTGCTCCTTGCTGCTTCTCGTCCTTGTCGTCCTTCTCGTCCTTCTCGTCCTTGTTGTCGTCTTATCGGACGGAACGTGAGGCTGTGCTGCTGGCGCTCAACCGTGTCTTTGGAACAACTGCCCGCTCTTCTTCCAGGCTCTCTTTCGTCTTTGTGCCCACCGCCGCCGGATCTTTGGGTGAGTCAAAAGCGTCAAGACACCAAGCGCCTCGCACGGGATGAGGCACGCCCTGCTTGGCTCTGCCGTCTCTGTCAATTGGTCTTGACTGCCATCAAGGGTGGCGCAAGGGCTGGCTAGTTGGCCATCTCCGATCGCGGCTTGAAGCCAGTCCCGCCCCTTGACCCGCGACGCAAACAGTTTTACATTGCCCAGTTGCGACTCAGCCTCCCGACTATGCCTCACCTTGTCTTATCCTGCGTATCTCATCACCAGATCACTAGCCATGGCTCCAGCCACAGCGCTGCTCGCTTTGGTGGCCCTCAGCGCCGCTGTTGCGGCCACCGCCACAGACGGCGCCACCGCCAATGCCACGATTCTTCCCGGCGCTGACGCAAGCAAGGACTTGGACCTCCCAGCCGAGTTCCTCTTCCCCACAAACACCTCCGAGCCCACTCTGATGGCGACCCAATGGCTTCATGCCCAGTTTCTTCAGGGTGCGCTCTTGCCTGCCCCCCGTCATGCCATCTTCCTTTTACAGCCCCCCCCTCCCTCGTTGGCCCTCTGGCTTTCATGCAGCTCACACCACCCTTGCTCACCGTCACGGCTCACTGCTTCGATCAAACCGCACGGGCAGGCACCATCATGGAAAAGGATCCCTTTGTGAGTGCCATGATGGGCGTTGGCGTCAAGCCCAGCTCAGGCTCTTACAGCGTTTGGGCCTACGTGGGTATGAGCCTTTTCTTCTCCACAACCTTTTTCGTCAGTTTTGGATCCCTTGTGAGCGTCTTCAGCTGGGAATGGCGCGATTTTCGCGATAATCGCAAAGAACTCTGGCGTCAAGCCCGCCTGTCCATGATCGGCATGCTCATAGCAGCCCCCATCATTGGTGTCATCATGAAAAACCTCTTCGAACAAAAGTTCGGGCGCCTGCGCTTCGACTACACCGACATCACCTGGGGCGAAACGGCCCTCATGTCCCTGGGCTTCATTCTCGTCTCCGATCTGACCTTTTACACCATGCACTCCCTCTGGCATACCCCTTTCATGTACAAACTAAGCCACTCTCTCCACCACAGCTGCCGCCCCACCACCACATATGCCGCATCTGCCGCCGACGCCGCCGAGATCCTCCTGACTGGCTTTGCCTCGGTCTTCGTGCCAGCCCTCGTTCTCCCCATCAGTGCCCGCCTCTTCCTCTTCCTTGATCTCTTCCAGCACTTTTGGAGCATCTGGATTCACAACCACGACGCAGTCAAGGTTGGCTTCCTAGTCTACGACCCCCATGACCACAATGTCCACCATTACTACGGCGAGCGCAACTTCAACTACGGCCTCTTTACGCAGATCCCCGATCGGCTGTTTGGCACGTACCGTGGTACGATCCCAAACTCTCGCCTCAGCGGCAAACCCCTTGTACGCGACGCACAGGGCAACGTCGTGAAACCGACCAAGTCTTCATAACCGCTTTGCTCTCGACCGACCATGTCCTCTGGCGATCCAACCAAGTTCGAGCAAAACGTACCCTCCGACCCTCTTCATCATCTTCTTGCTGAGGAAGGCAAGACACTCTTTTAGATTGACAGCATTTCGCCGCCGGTTTAGCTGCCAGCGCAGCACCCATGAGAGTTGTGGGCTCTTTCCTTCTGGCTGCCCGTCAATAGGCCGCGCCGGCTTGTCAACGGGGACAATTTACCAATTCCTTCCTTGCATCTCCTCCAATCAAAGTTTTGCCCGCTTTTCTTCACCCGCTCAGCCCTCTTTTTCTTGCTCATAACCGCCGATGTGTGATGACTGATCGGATTTTGCCCAAACCCCTCAGTTGACGGATACCGCACCATTCTGTGCTTTTGACCGCAATCGATCTCCACCGTTGTTCTTCTGTGATTGGCTTTCTATTTTGCGTCGACAAACCCGCAGCGTGCCGCACCTCAATCGCCACAGTTAAAGAATAATACACGTACTAAAATGACTGTGCAAAGTCTGAGCCTCAGGCAAGCCATGACCAGCATGGCATTTTGACAACCTCTCGAGAAAAAGATATTGCGAGAGGAATAGAAGGGGGGAAGGGCACACAATAACCTGCACATATGAAAAGGGATTTAAGACCAGTTGAAGCTGGACAGATCACATGGCCTCGTTGAGCGATCCCTTGGCCACTTCTACGGTCTCTGCAGCTTGCTGCACGATATTCAGAAAAACGTCGTGCAGGGTGGCCTGGCGCAGATCCATCAGATTGGCCTCAAGCTCCTGCTCCAGGTTACCAGCTCGTTGGAGTGCTACATGCAGCGGATGACACTGTGCTGCAGGTAGTCGTACCTGCACGTAGCTGCCATGCTCACTCAAGACTTGAGCCGAGCCAAAAGCAGCTTCAATGGCCTCACGAATTTGCACCCCGGTTTTTCCTGGGGCATTCACTTCAAGAGAAAAGTAGTCTCCAAAACGTGCCCGCAACTCTTCTAGTGTACCATGCTGCACCAACCGGCCACCAGCCATGATGCCGAAATAGTCACAACACAGTTCGCACTCGTCCATGCTGTGACTTGTCATCAACACAGCCTTGTTCATCGCCTTCATTGCCGCAATGCACGACCAGAGGAAGCGGCGCCCCAGGATATCAATCGCTGCGCTTGGCTCGTCCAAACACACAACGCTCTGGGGCCCCAGAATGGCCAAGCCAAACGACAAACGCCGCCGATTACCACCACTCAAATGGCGAGTCTCCAAGTCCACAAAGTCTGTCAACTGCAGAAAACCAACGAGCGCTCCAATCGTCATCGCCGCTTGGGGGTTTGCCAGCCCCCGAATCGAGGCAAATAGCTGCAAGCTCTCACGGACGGTGAGTCGATCCAAGAGTGCGTCCACTTGCGGACAGTAGCCCAGGTGCTGCAGGGCCCGGCCTCGCGCGTCGTGCATGTCGAAACCGCCAATGTGAATCACCCCACGACCCACATCACGCTCACCCACAAGGCAGCGAAAGGTCGACGTCTTGCCGGCACCATTGACGCCCAGCAACCCGTAGCATGTACCAGGCATAACATGCAAGCTGACGTCTTTGACTGCCTCGCGACGCGATCGCGCACGCCAAAACCGCCATGTTCGGGGCAGTGCATAGCTCACGTGGAGGTCGGTCACAACGATGCCGCTCGTTGCAGATCCATCAAAGGGCAGCATCTCCTCATCCTGGTCCTCCGCCAATGGCCCCAAACTTGCGCCAGGATTGGCACGTTCTCTCGGCAGCGCCAACTCGCGCCTTGGGCTACTGCGACTTGACCACCCTCTGGTTCCGCGCTTTGCAACTGCAGCGAGACAACGCCCCACCTCGCGCCAATGGACGGTGACCATGAGCAGCCCAGGCCAAATCAGTGCATGCACCCAAATGGCCAGGAGATACTTGCCAATGACATGCCATTGGAAGGCACTTTGAAATGCCGGCGCTGCGTCACCGACGAGAGCAGCCGATACAACACTATACTGATACTCGTACTCATGACGCGCGACATTGAGGATGGCACGGCCGAGGCAAAATTGTGGGAAGACGGCCAGCATATTTTTCAACAGCTCGTTCACATGGGCGAGGGCCACGAGGGTAGGAAACCAGTCGAGTATAAAGGTGGCCAACGTCGCCGTGAGTCCGATCGCGACATTTAGTACCATCGCGCTCACGTAGGCCGTGGCCGGAACCGAGTACAGCCCAGTGAGCATGTACATGAGCGGAATAACCGCAAAGCCATAGCTCACGATCAACAACGCCATTGGTAAGGCGTTATGCCCCGTGTACGCAGGCAGTCCAAACGCCTCAAAGACAACAATGCAAAGCAAGCACGCTATAAAGTAGGTGCTCAGATCAAACAAATAATGACCAAACCAGAGCACACCCGGTGAGAGCCCCGATGCCAGCTGCAAGTGTCGAGCCTACAATAAGCAAAATGGATAACCGCAAGCAGATGAGCACCACAGGTCGTTTGTGCAGAGGCTAGCAGTTTGGTGAAGCTTTTGACCCTGCTTCAAACCCCTGACGAATTATCTGAAACGCGCCAGGATTGCGCCTGGTCCGAAATAGCGTGCCCCTCTCAAGTCCCCTCTTCCAATTTCAACATGTGCGCCGGCCTCACCCGATCCACACGCTCCTTGACGATAAAGACAAAGACGCTGGCAGGTAGAAACGATAGGCCAAACAGGATGAAAATGGCCACAGTGATATCCGTGCCTGATGTGATATACTCCTGCAGCTTCGTGTCCACGGTAGCGTCTAGCGGATGGTTGTAGGCTGTCGTTGATACATTGCCCAAGACTTGCAGCAGTCCTTGATTAGCGACATGCAGATATGCTGGGAGGCTGTGCATGTCCCGCATATCAAACCAAGCTCGCGCAAAAGTGGCTGCATCGGCGGGATAAGGAGCAGCCCCAGGGCCCAGGTAGGCTTCAGAGCCTACGTGCCTAATGGCAAGGTTGCCAAAACGCTGCCAGTCCCCAGTTACTGCCCCATGCACAGTGCCATCGTTGAGCAGGAAATGCTTAAGAAGCCATTCAGTCACATTGGTACTGTCGGGAAGCAACAGGCTGGCCTCGGCCAAGCCAGCCGACGCCTCCACTGCAGCCGATACCAGACCAGCACGTTCAGGCATGGACGGGTTGGTCCACCAAGGCAATTCAACATGTGCATCCGGGCACTCGTTTTGAAACATGTTGGGCGACAGCTCTAACGCAGGCTGCTGCTGGGCCGGCGGAAGCGCTGGCACGTACCCAAAACACATGGTGATGAAAATCAGCAGAAATGAGATGTGCCCTCCCGCCCCTCCCAAAAAAACAAAAAGCAGATTGCAGCAGATGCATCGGTGCTTACCATTGGCGACAATCATTGCCAGACACATGAAGAGCACTGGCAGCACGGTCATGGACAGGAACGCGCGCAAGTCTCGCTTGGTGTAGTGAAGGCGCTTCGAAAAACAGGCGCGCAGCTGACAGATGAGAAGACGCCAACCACTAACACATGCCGTCGTCTCAACCTGAAACGCTTCCGGCGAGGCTTCACCAACTGCCTCTTCCAGCCGTTGAGTGAGAATAATGTGTGAGAAGACGTGGTCCAAGGTACATGCCTTGACAGTGGCCGAAGCAGCCAAATGTGGGCCACCGGCTTCGGCTCGTTTGGTCAAGTCAACAAGAACGTGGCTGAGCATTAGGCGTGCATTGGCTATGTTCGCGCCTGGGCGGATTTGAACGTTTTGTTCACCAACACGAAGCTTCAAAGCGAGCGGTTGGCATATTCCACGCAGCAGCTCGAGTTGGGAGTCTGATAGCCCTGAGCGAGCCCACTCAAGCTCAGTGTCCAGTCCGAACCGGTGGCGTAACTGGCCAAATGTCCCACGCTCTAGCACACGACCTTGGTGCATAATCACAATGTCATCACTCAAGACTTGGGCCTCATCCTAAGAAAGCACGGTGTCCAGACGAGTGAGAACTTTCACGACCGGAGTCAAGTGCATGGCCTTTCGACGATAAGAAGGTTTGAAAAAGGGGGTGGTGTGGGGTGTGGCCGCAGCTGCAGCTCCCAGTGGGCGCCTCCAGGGCATACCAAGTGATGGGTGCAGAGTATGATGGTGCTGTGCGCTTTGCGTGCAAGGATCGCATCCCAGGTGCGGCGGCGTGTAGCCGGATCCATGCCTATCTCCATCACGAAAGTTGACATGCGCACAAAGCCCACCCATCCAAGCACATCATTCATTAGGCTCATTCACGCTGCGATTCTTTCAGAGGTGGGGATTGGCTTTCAACAAGCGATACCAGAACTGCTAGTCAAGCACAAAACGCACCAGCAGTGGGTTCGTCGAGGAGGATCACGTCTCTTCCCAGAAAGGCAAGGAGCACGGCAAGCTTGCGCTTGTTGCCGCCACTCAAATGAACGGCCCGCGTATCCAGCATTGGGTCGAGAGCTAGAAGGTTTGTCAAGGTCTCCACATCAATCTCGTCGCCGTGACTGCCTGTCAGTCGCATCAATCGTCCAAAAAAGTCAATGTGCTCACGAACGGTCAGTTGCTCAAAGAGGGTATTTTGCTGTAAGCAGATGCCCAAGCAGCGTCGTGCCGCCGGTGTTTCCGCTGGAAGCCTAACCCCACAACGCCGGTCTCTGCAATGAGAGTTGAAAGGCGTTGTGCTGTACACGCAAGTCGAAGCCGATAGGCTACAATACGAACCGCCACCCGTGCACCCGGACCGTGCCAGCATCCGCCTCGATGATGCCTGCAATGATCTTGGTGGCTGTCGATTTGCCCGCTCCTGTAGCATATGTGTGCCCGATGGAAGCGAGCGTGGTGAGCGCTTGTTGTCAGAAATTGCAATGGCAACGATCTGGCTGCAGGTGACAAAGACAACAACTCGCAAATGGCAAGGGCCGTGGTCCTTTTCTCAGCACAGCAGGACCTTTGCTCAGGAGATAGAAAGAGTAACCTCATAGTCAAAAAAAAAAAAAAAAAAAAAAAAAAAAAACCAGGCCACAACCAAAATTGTGTTCTATCTGGCAGTGATGATCCCAAAATAACAGCATGCCGTACCGTTAGGCCCCAACAGCGCCACACAGGTGCCTCGTCTGGTCTGCAATCCAAAGTTACAGAGAGCAACCTTGGTCTGCTTGCGCCACAAACTATGCAAGACGTATTCCTATTGCGCACACGAACGCCAAACGTGATGTGAGGGCTGCACCCAATATCCATCATCAAACACAGAAAGGCGCAGGGAAGATAAGCCGCAGATCGACTTGCCTTTCTCACGTCACTAAGGTTCAAGCTGAAGGCCTCTGCTGCGTCATCCGCAACAACTGCATGTTCATCGGCATTGACTGAAGGGTCAAGCATTGGTACATCATCGTCGGGACTGCCAACCGCATCTGCTGCTGCACCTGGGCTTTGAAGTCGAGCATAGCCGGACAAAGTAGGAGTGGCTATCCAGTAAGCGTGGCAAAGGCGCCAAGGCAGGGTCACCGGAAAATGCCATGGGCGCGGGGGCCCGTTGGAGCGATCGAGAATCTGGAAAAAGTACCAGCTCAAGGCTGCATACAATAGACAATCCAGGCACAACATGCCCCAGGCAGCAGCCACACTGAATTGATCGCAGGTACCGATGCCATGATGAAGACTTGACCACTACGAAGCACAAGGAGATGTAAGGAAGCGCAGATCGGGAGGGTCCGACTCAGGGAGGCGAGGCAGCACAGTGGAAGCCTGACCTGTACGCCCGTTTCGAGTTGTTCAAAATGGGCCATGTAATACACGCCAATGCCAAAGGCAGTCGTGGAGAGAGTCGATGCGCCATACTTGGAACTCACGGGCAACGTGTCCAGGCTGAGAGCAACTATCACAAACGGGATGTACAAGCAAAAGTAGAGGATGCCGCCCACCGCGGAAGCAATCTTGGCTTGCCGAAAGAATACACTAATCAACATGGCAAAGAGGAGCGAGGAAAGCACAAAGGTTTCCAGGAACAAGAAGAGCACAAGGCCGTCTGTAAACCTGCCGACGGCCCGACCAAGCGCATTGTGATGAGCCGCAGAGTTTAAAATGTCCGTGCCAGTGAGGGAGGCATCTGTCTGAGGCATGCACGATTGAGTGTGCCGAGCGGATTTGGCCAATCACACCAACCGCAGAATGTTCCCCAGCTTGAGCAAGAGCGTCAAGATGCCCACGCTTGGGAGGCTGGTGAGCAAGGCCGTGACCAGCCAGCTGCACCAATATGCCGAGCCGCTCAGGCCACGCAGATGCATAATGACGTCAAGATTTTGCTCCTTCTCCCAGACCACAGACTTGATCGTCAAACTGACTGTGTACAGCCACGCAAGCGTCATGAAGAGCGGCAGGGTGGGTCCGAGACCTGACGCGAATGGATCCGACTCAAAGGCAGGAATGGGGAATCTTTGTGTCAACATCGGCAAGGAGCCAAGCGTTGAGTATCCCTACCGAATGCACAAGATGACGCATCATGACCATCGGGGCAGGAGTGAGCGTGTGAACCCCCTGTTTATTCTAAGGTAAGAGCCTGTACAAAAATGAAGGCTCGCCCCCAAAATGATTTCGCACCAGACTTAAATCTAAAACAGCGCGATCCAACATGTCCTACAAAGTTGCATGTTCCCATTGAGCTTGGGCGCAATGATAAGGCCCGGTTCAAACGACAACAACGCATACGGGACGGAGATGGCACCTGAAGATAGACAAAGCCCGAGTATACGTAGAGGAACCAGGTATAGGCGCCATAGTCGGTCGTCACGGCTTCATGAAGACGCGTAGTTTTGGGCGTGTAGAGTGAGTTCATTCGGATGGTGTAGGCTACGTGCTGCGGATCACTAGTATTGAAGACGATACCGCCAATGGTATCGAGGGTTGAAGAGCGTTGGGCAATTTGTGCCACCATGGCCGCCTCGTCGGGATACGCTACAAATTGAGTCGCATTACTAAAGAAGCTAAGCAACCCTGGGTCTGGTTCCAGGCGTGCCGATGTATTTGAGGCAAACAATGGTGTCGGTAGAAAGATGACACCTTCCGTTGGAACCGGAAATCTAACGGGGCGCGGGCCAAGATGAACAAAAGCAGAACAAAGAAAAAAAAAAAAAAGTCAAAAAGCAGGCCAAACGTTTATTTGCAGCACAAGCAGAGCCTGTCTTGCTGATGATCACATACAGTTGCTCCGTGGACTGATTGCAGATGGGCAGTGGACAATCAATGTCTTGAGGAACTTGCACGGCCATCTCGACGTGATCGGCCGCATCCCCTTCCTTGTGGAGGATGGCCATGTAGTAGGCTTGCCCCCCACGTAGCGTTTGTGGGGCGGACCTCTGCTCAGGATATACGTGAAAAAAGCTGCGCGAGACAGCCGAATGCAGTGACGCAATTTTGCGCTACACCGCACACGCAAGCACAAGCACATGTATGCACACATACAGGGACAGAGAACATGAAGTGTGAGTAGGCAGACTCAACATGACGGCAAGAGGGGCGCACAGAGATCGCGTTGATAATATCGGTGGAAAGCACGAAGCAAACCGTATTTGCGCGAGAGTTGTCGCTAGACAGGTGCAGCTCCGAGGCATCATCGCTGGCAATGAAGAAAGTGTAGTCCCCATCGGCAGGGGGAACGAAGGAAAAGCTGTTGGCACGCGCCAAATGACGTGAAGCACTGAGTAAACTGGCTCCCTCTGGGCCTTGTCCACCACCACCACCGTGCGAAACGAAGCGGTGAACAATCAGACCTGAGGACTTGGGCATAGTGGTTGCCAATGTTGACGGGGGAGGCCAGATACTCTGAGTTGACCACGTAGCGAGCGTTTGGGTTGTTGGGATATCTTGGGTCCGAGGTCAAGGCGTCAATCTGTGTCAGTCGGGCCGGGACGGGTCGGTACACGCCAAGGTGGGTGAAGAGAATATCATTAGAAGCCACCAAAGGCATGCAAGTGGGTCCTGGCTGTGTTGTCGGTAGATTCAAGAGCTTTTACCTCGATGCCGTCGATGCGAAACCAGCGCTCAATCAAAAAGCCCGGATCTCCACCTGCAGAAGGAAGCGGCAGCTAGCATAAGCAGGACGAGAGGCTACGCTCATGGTTTGGCTTGAGTTGCAGGAGACAAACTGTGGTGAATTTCTGACGCATTGCCACCCGTGGAAATGTCGAAGAGGCACTGCCCGGCTTGCACGGCTGTGAGAACAGCGTCAAAGGTGCGATTGACTTGGGCCATGATAGCGCGCGTCTATGCGAGAGAGAAAGAAAGAACGACGGGTCACGATTGTGGCAATCTGTATTGGGTTTGGTGCTGGTCGGGAGGGGTGCCGGGCGTGTGTGTTCCAAACCTCTGGGGTGTCGGGCGTATAGGCCAGTTTGCCGCCCCCAAACAGCGACTGGAGAACAATCAGGCCCGACTACGAGATGGACAAGAAGAGGAGAGGTGATGTGTTAATGCTGTGGATGGGGCAACAGGTCTGCAAAGGGGCATCTTCGCAAGGGTGGACGCTGCACCGACTCACGGATGCACTGTTGCTGCCGTCGTGAGCTTCATCGAGCTCATTGTCCAGGGCGTTGGCTGGTAGGATAGGGCATGCGGCATACTGGATCAGATCCACTAGGTCCACTGTTTCATCGTATTGAGTGAGAGCCATTAGGTTTTTGGCTCGCGGCAGGTTCATGAGCTGAACAAAGGCCCGGGTCATGTTGTTCAGAATCTTGGTGCTGTTCAAGCTCAGTGAGCTCTGGTTATGGTGGTGAAGATCATGGTTGAGTGCGGTGCCAAGGCCAAAGGTGAGCACGTCCAACAGGCTGTGGTTGTAAAAGGCAAAGGCTCGATCGCCAACGTGGGGAGCACTCAGGAGCTGACATGCACAGCCAATGGCGCTGCGCAATCGAGTTTGGTTCTCAAAGCCCTGGGCCCAAGGAAAGAGGACGCCGTGGGAGCGTTGCAGCTGTTGTCGACAGGTGGGGTCAGGGATGGCGGCCAGCGTGCCATTGCGTCCCCATAAAATAAGAAGCTCGGCCAGGGCAGCCTGGTGCTGATCAAAGGTGCTGGTGCCGTGAAAGAGGTAGGCAGCCTCGTCGATGAGTGCCGGCCCCAGAATGGATGGGCCCGTGTCATTGACGACATCATGAAGCCCATCGCAAAGGATCGACTGCATCATCAAGGGCACACCAGCTGATGGCAAGGCCTGGGGGCTCAAAGAGGCTAACAAAGCGCACAAAAAAAAAGGCAGGTGATGAGCAGCCGCAGAGTAACGTGAAGGATAGAAGCAAAAGGATGGAAGAGGGGTCAAAAGCGTCAAGACCCACTGGCGCTTTGAGGAGAAGGGGGGACTTGATGACGGACAAGGACGAGAATGACGAAGATGATGGTCGGCAGCAGAACCTCAGTGAGCGTACTACGCCAAGCCCGGGAGCGCATCAAGGCTTGGCGCCAAAGCAAAAGGCGGAGCTGCCCGAACCAGGCCCGGTATCCCGGGCTGGCCTCAAGGGGTGCCATGGTCAGCACCAAGACACCCTCTAAGTCGTTGCACCACCTGCCGATGCACCACGCATCCCGCGGCGCTTGTGCTGCGCGCTGTTCGAGCACACGAACCACCCGGCTCGAGCACACCTGACCTGTTATCGCTCCGCCAACACAGGACTTCCCAAGCCCACAACGACCTGAATCCCACCCTCACACCTACCCACTGTCACGCAAAATACCCGACAGCAAACGTGAAACCAAACCCTCCGGTGCGACCGAAATCACAAAAATGAAGAATGACCGTGATGATGAGAAAATGGGTCCGCAATTTGGGCGCGCTCCCTCTCTCTCTCGAACCATTTCTCTCTCTGTCTGTCTCTCTAAATCTCTCTCTCTCTCTCTCTCTCTCTCTCTCTCTCTCAAGCTCTCTCTCTCTCTCTCTCTCTCTCTCTCTCTCTCTCTCAAGCTCTCTCTCTCTCAAACTCTCAAACTCTCAAACTCTTTCTCTCAAACTCTCAAACTCTCTCTCTCAAACTCTCTCAAGCTCTCTCTCTCACATTCACACACGACGATGCAGCAGCAGTGGCCGGATGATCCTGGGTTGCGGCTGGTGGAGCAGCCGCCTCCGTTTGAGCACCTGCAGGTTCTCTCCGATGCCTCACTGCTCCGTCCGTTGAGGTGGGAGGATGCGCGATTGATCATTGACAGACAGGCGTTTGTTCAGTTTCGCCGCAGCCGCGTCTCACTCGAGGCATACCGCGCCTTTATGCGCGACATCAAAGCCAAGTTTGAATCGGTGGGTGACATGGTCATGGTGCGCAAGAACGGGTATGCTGTGCAGGAGGCACCCGACGGGCGACTGCGAGCCGTGCGACCCACCAATCCCGAGTTTCGCCTTCTCTTTGAGCCAAACGACTTTCCCTACTACTTTGTCGAGGGCATCCAGCACCATGTTCTTTGGGTGCAGGGTGCAGAGCTGACCATGGACGCTCTCACCGAGTGGGTGCCGCGCTATCGCGACCCCGCGCTGTTTGACGTGCTCTACTTTGTCAATCCGCCCGGGCTGCGAACAGTTCCCGAAATGAGCCATGCACACATTATCAGCCGGCCCAAGTCCCTCGCCATTTTCCAGCCCCAGCCTCGCATGATCGCCACCAGCCCCAGCCTCCCGCTCGATGCCCGACCAGCCCTCGATGGCGCAACGACAATCGAAGTGTGCGTCGACTCGGTGGCAGCTGCCCAAGCTGCCCAGGCTGGAGGTATGTAAGCTGTACAACGTCCAAACGGTCACAGTTTTGTTTCGCCCAGCGCCATGTGCGGTGCCTGATTCAAGTGGTTCGGGTCCCAGCAAGGAATCAGTGTGGATCGCTTTGAATTTGATCGCCTTTGACTGATCACTCGCCCACTTTTTGTCTTCTTGGTCGTTGTCGTTCTTGTTCTTGCTGTGTGGCAGGCGCCCATCGCCTGGAGTTGTGCAGCGCGCTTTCCGAGGGTGGGCTGACCCCCAGCCTGGGCTTGTGTGCGGCAGTCATGCGTGCAGTCAGCTTGCCGGTGAGCGCCAACTGGATGTGCTCCTAGATGCCAGTGCTTCAATCAAAAACTCGGTAGTCGGGGCACATGACCCTGGTCTTTTCGATGGCGTTTTAGGTGCACGTCATGATCCGGTCGCGAGGGGGAGACTTTTGCTACTCGGACGAGGAAATGGACGTGATGCTGATGGATCTCGCAGCTTTGCGCTCGCTGGGTGTGGCCGGCGCAGTATTTGGCTGCCTCACCCCGGAGGGCGAGGTGGACTGGGTGCGATGGCAGGCCTTTGAAAGCGCTTGTACGGGAGCTCACGTGACCTTCCATCGCGCCATTGACATGAGCCGGGATCCCGTGGCTGTGGCGTTGGCGCTCGTCCAGCGCAGCTCCTGTCGACGCATTCTGTCCAGTGGTGGTGCAGCAACGGCCCAAGCAGGGGCCCAGACACTAGCAGCCATGCAGCAAGCGGTGGGCGCCGCTGCGCAGGTCGTGCCGGCCGGTGGCGTGTCGGCTGAGAACGCAGCTGATCTGGTGCATCAGACAGGGGCCCGGCAGCTTCATGGATCGGCCCGCGCGTGGCTGGAATCGCCCATGACCTGCCGCACTACTGCCGTGAGTATGTCTGCCAATTCTGAGGTGATACCCGATTATCAAAGGAAAAGCTGCAGTGCGGACCTCGTACGGGCCTTGGTCGCGGCCGTTCGGGCCCCAACCGCCGCCACAGCGGCACCCAACTAACCCAGGGAGCTCGCGTGTGTGCTCGTATGGGACTGTGAAAGCTTTTTTTTTTTTTTTATATAATCCGATTATGACATGTATGTGCTGGAAAACGGGAGATTTGTAAACTACAGAACCGATATACCTCGACTCAGATTTGATCATGGGACATTTTCATTCAATTGAGATTGGCCATGACGGACCGCCGTTTTGAAGATTGGAACAAACGCGCTCAAACAACGCACGAGTGGGTAGAGGCTGCACAACACCCTCAACACACAACACCCTCAACGCATACGGCAACACGACTTAGACCTCTCGGAAGTGAATGGGGCGATCGACGGGATACTCAACGGCGTACTCCAAACGAACCTCTCCCTGCGCCTTGGGCTCGAGGCGGCGGGTCCAGATTAGGTTGTTGGTGAGAGAGTTGAGCTCGACATCGTCCCCGCGTGCCACGTCCTCAAAGCCACCGCCAAACTCGTCGTCGGCAGGGGCACGCTTGGCAACTTGGCCCTTGTCGGTACCGTGCAGGGCGGCCATGTCCGGCTCGGTGACCTTGACTCGAATGGCGCTGTCGGAGGGCTTGGGCAGCGCTTGCAGCACCACAACGGTGGCGGCCTTGCCCAGGGTGTTGGTGATGAGGCAGCGGTGGACATACTGAGCCGTGTTAGTCTTGCCTTGGAAAAAGGAGGATTGCTGGCTGCGACTCTCGTTGGGAGGGCGGTAGTCCAGCTTGATGCCTGCGTCTGTGCCAAGGTAGGTCGTGAAGGTCTCACCCGGCATGACCAGCTTGAGGCGCGTGGTGGTGATGAGGCTGCCATCGCAGAAGACGTTGCAGTCGCTGCTGGGCAGGAGCATTGTGTCCGAGGTGTTGGTGACCTGTGCCTGCATGTAAACGTCGGTCGACTTGGCAGGTACGCAGAGGTAGCGGGTGCGCACGCCCAGGTTGAGGATGGTCAGCGTCACCTTGTGGCGGTTGTTGTCCGACTCGACCGTGCAGGGCTGCTCAATCTTAAAGTTGGTGCTCAGACCTGTTGAGGACGTGCTGGCGCTGGCCACGGGGGCCTCCTCCAGGCATGCATCGGCATCGTCATCCTCCTCCATCTCGTCGTGCATGGCAGCTCGCTCCATAGCCATCATGGGCATGGCCATGGACGCTGCCGAGGGCGCACCGCCAAAGCTGTTGACAGCGCCGCGGGACCGTGCTGCCATCTTGGCCTTGCGTACTCGAAGCGGGCGAGCAACCTCAAACTCAACAAGCATGGGGTTCAGATTGGGAGGTTGGCCGCCCACGGCGGGGCGGGCGGTGGACAAGGTCAAGGCCACGTCCTTCCAGTCCTCGCCCGTGTCCTGTTGCACCTGACCGTAGTAGCGGAGCTGCACGTTCGTTGGGAGCAATAGTGGAGAGAGGGTGAGCAACAGACAGAAACTGGGGAACCCAAACCCATAACCACCTTTTTTCTTGTAATGGGGAGCTCCGGGCGGGGTTTGGAAAAGACATACCTCCATAGACAAGTCTTGGAGATTCATACGCAGGTCGTAGGCTGGGGTCCAGCTGGCACCAGCCACCAGATAGGTAATCTAAGGGCAAACAGGAGCCATCAGCGGCAGACGACCGCGGGTGAATGTGCAGGGCTGGAGTGTGGGTGGCGACAGCACCAGCAAGACGCGTTACCTCGAGGCGGACTGAGCTGGCCTTGGCCACGTCGAGGGAGATGACCAGGTCTGAGCGGGGGCGAGCCTGGGAGCGCAGCTCGCGTTGCTTCTTAAGGACGGCCTGCTGTGCCTCGCGTTCGGTGCTGAGTTGGCGATTGATGGCCCGCTGGCGGGCTTGGGCCTCCATGCTGCGTTCGAGGAAGGTGGCGATGATGCCGTTGGCCTCGGCGGGCTTGGGCGCCTCGAAACCCGAGTGGGCACCAATTGGCTGGACTGCGTAATTGGTGTACGCCTGCAGGGCCTCCAGCGCCGCCTCTTGCAATTTGTTCTGTCCAAGCATGCCATACATTCATGACCACAGCGGTGAGGCGTGAGTGCAGAACGCACTCGATGAGACTAGTGGTGCAGAGTGGAGTGGGGTGGTTGAATAAACACGCCTACCTCATCTTCAAGGGCGCGCATGCGCTCCTGGATGTCCTGTAGCTCATTGTTGAGCGTCTTCATGGCATCCTCATCCACGTCGGGGGTGATGCGGGCCACGAGGACATCGAGCAGGGTGCAGGGGCCAAAGGCCTTGACACGGATGGAATCTGGATTCATGAGGCGCTTGCTCAGCCCCTTGAGAGTGATTTTTTGCAAGCCTTCCTCAAGGTCATCCAGGCCCAGCTCGCGCGTGACCTCGGCACGATCATTGAAAACGGTGACAGCTGAGACGGTGGCATCCTTCAACTCGTGCTCGATTGAGGGATCGGTCGAGCTCGTGCCCACGGGCTCAACCTCCATGATGGCAGCCATGGCGTGGCGTCTGTGTCAAGTGGCGCAAGTTTTTTTTTAAAATGGAGCCAGTACAATGATATCCTGCAAATACCAAAGAGCACAAATGCAATTGGATGGGACGCGCGGCAGGTCAGTGAGCAAGCAAAAGTGCAACGTTGGTGATCATGTAGCCGGCGCAAGAAGACGCCCAGACACAGCGACAGAGACAAAGACAGCGACAGCGACAGAGACAGCGACAGAGACAGCGACAGCGACAGCGACAGAGACAGGAGACAGAGACAGAGACAGAGCGGCCAGAGACAGACAGAGACAGAGACAGAGCGGCCAGAGACAGAGACGGAGACAGAGAGCGACCAGGAGGAAGTAAAGCCGAGAGCGCGCAGAACGACAGACGTACCACTGATCACAAGAAATTGAAGCTCTGTGTGTGTGTGTGTGCGTGTGCAATCGAACACACGCCACGAACAATCTGACAACGTCACCACGTCAAGTGCGGCCGTGTGGCCAAGGATGAAGCAGGGCTAGTTGGTATGCCGTGAGATCATTGACAGCCAAGAAGAGTAACCGTGTGCACGTTGGAGTAGTAAAATGCAACGACTCCCCCTCGCACACACACAGCCAGCGGAGCACACGCTCAAGCGCGCTGCCATTATAGGCGACGCGCCTCACCGCCCCCGGCTATTCTTAGCATCTGTATTTGCATAGTGTACTGTTGATCACATTATCGCATACATTGTCAGCACACGTAAATGAGAGATGGAGATAGAGACAGACAGAGAGAGACACAGAGAGAGACACAGAGAGACACAGAGAGACACAAAGACACAGAGAGACACAGAGAGACAGAGAGAGACAGAGAGAGACAGAGACACAGAGACAGTCAAAGACAGACACAGACAGACAGTGACAGACAGTGACAGTGACAGAGACAGAGAGAGAGACAGAGAGACACACAGAGAGACAGACAGAGAGACAGAGAGACAGAGAGACAGAGAGACAGAGAGACAGAGAGACAGACACAGAGACAGAGAGACAGACACAGAGAGACAGAGAGACAGACACAGAGGGACAGAGAGACAGAGACAGAGACTCATTCTGCATCTCATGTGAGTTGGCACCGGGACGACGTGGTGTCGGCATCAGCGTCTGGCTGCTGGAGGCGGTGGGCTCCTGCGTGCGGGGTCTTGATCCTGCTTGCTTTTTGTTGATACCGACAACTTCCTTTCGGTAAGGCCTTGTGCTTTGGTTGAGAGAGCACCGCTGCCATTTTTTTTTTCCAGTGGGTGTGAGTGCCACCGATCGGTCAACAACGTGCGCTAGGCAAAGAAGAAGTACACCTCACTTTGGAACTTATCGCCAGCGCTGTCTGCCTGTCCTTTGGCGCATCAGGGGGAAAAAGCAGGGGTTCCTGACCGGCTGCCGTTTTTGACGCAAGTCCGACATTGTGGGTGTCAGACGAGTTGTACTTGGAGGGGCTCATGAGATTGGTGGTGGAGAAGCGGATGGTGATAGAGAGAGATACCGTTACCATGAGTGATGATGGAGAGCAGCTGTTAGATGCGTGCTGGTCATCAGATCCACAAGAGGCGCTGCAGCTGTTAACCAGTTGGGACCACCAACGTATCCAAGATGCTGCCAAACACAAAGATGATGGGGTACGTCAGCTGTTTGATATGCTGTTGTGTGATATTTATCGGCAACACTTTGAATACGGCACTGAATGTTGTGTACATGATGGTGATGCTGTACCTGTACGTCATGCCGATGCATCATCCCACAGGATGGCCATACACCACTACACTATGCCTGCGATAACGCTCATGTTGAGGTGATGGAGATGCTGTTGAGGCACGCTGTTGATTCTGAAGCCCAGAACAACGTCAGTACAGTCCCCTTTACCCCCTATGATTTCACGCAACCACAATGACGTTGTACATCATGCTGATGCATCATCCCACAGCGTGGCTGGACACCACTGCACAAAGCCTGCAATAACGGCCATGTTAGGGGGGTAGAGATGCTGTTGCAGCACGGTGCCGATACTGAAGCCAAGGACCAGGTCAGTACAGTACCTCTTTTTGCTCCGCCCATGATGGTAGACAACCATAATATCATGTTGTTCCTGTTGCACCTGTCCGTCATGCTGATGCATCATCCCACAGGTTGGCGATACACCACTGCACAAGGCCTGCATTAAGGGTCATGTCGAGGTGGTGAAGATGCTGTTGAAAAACAGTGTTGTTACTGATGTCAAGGACCAGGTTAGTACAGTACCTCCCTTTGCCCCGCTCATGATGGTATACAACCATAATATCATGTTGTTCCTGTTGCACCTGTGATGCATCATCCCACAGTTTGGCCATACACCACTGCACAAGGCCTGCAGTACCGGTCGTCTCGCAGTGGTGAAGATGCTGTTGCAGCACGGTGTTGTTACTGATGCCAAGGACCAGGTCAGGGCAGTGCCACCCTTTACCGCCCTCCGCCCCGCCCCTATGATGGTATACAACCACAATATCATGTTATTCCTGTTGTACCTGTCCGTCATGCTGATGCATCAACTCCAGTTTGGCGATACACCACTGCATAAGGCCTGCAGTAGCGGTCATGTCGAGGTGGCGGAGATGCTGTTGCAGCACGGTGTTGCTACTGATGCCAAGGACGACGTCAGTACAGTACCTTCCTGTTCCCCCTTTCCCCTATGATGGCACACACCTGTACCACATGATGATATGTTGTTGTACCTGTACGCCATACCGATGCATCGTCCCACAGGATGGCACGACACCCCTGCACTGGGTGTGCAGTAGCAGTAGCGGTCATGTCGAGATGGCGGAGATGCTGTTGAAGCACGGTGCTAGTACTGAAGCCAAGGACGACGTCAGTGCAGTACTTTCCTCGTCCCCCCTTATTCCCCTATGATGGTACACACCTGTACCACATGATGATGTCATACCGATGGATCATCCCACAGCGTAGCCATACACCACTGCACGCTGCCTGCAGTAGCGATCATGTCGAGATGGTGGAGATGCTGTTGAAGCACGGTGCTAATACTGAAGTCAAGGACGATGTCAGTACAGGACCTCCCTCCTCCTCCCTCCCCTCTGTCTGCTGCTCCTGCTTCCGCTGCTCGTCTCCTTTGCGCCGTCTCTCTCCTCTCCACCCTGCCCCTCGTGCGCGTCCGTTCTGCCTCTTGCTCCTATTCTTCTTTCTCGCTACCCCTCTTCTTTTCCCATTTTGCGTCTGCTCTTCGTCGGTGCTCCCTGCATCCCATCTTGTTCTTCCTCCCGCGATGAACTCGTCCCTCATGTTACCGAACATTGATATTATATAGGACGGCCAAACGCCGCTCCATACAGCCTGCACCTTCTCCTCTGCCACCCGAAAGCTTGTCCGCCAACTGCTGCGGCACGGTGCCGACCTGGACGCGAGAGATCTTGTAAGCCTTTCATCACGATACCCTGGCTTTTGTGCTATTCGGTCACACCTGCGATTGATACCCGATGGCCTTGTGTGGCAGGCGGCTGCACGGCCCTTGGATCTGCTCCTTCGCAGGGATCCCATCGAGTTGGAGGTGGGCCTTCTTTTTCTTATTTGTGGTCCTGATTGCAGAGGCAAGCTGGCTTACCGATGAACCTGCTTCACTTTATAGCTGATTGAGGAACTATTGGGCGCAATCCATACTCCTTGCTCCTACCACACTGCGAATCCCCATGGTGCGAACCTGGTTCGCATGTGATTGTCCGCATTGTCTTGTGCTCATCGGATTTCAATGTGGCGCCAGTCCAAGGCTTGATTCATGCAGAGCAGGTCAGACGCTGGCGGTGCTCTGCTGCTGTTCTATGCAGCGTCGGCTGGCGCGTGGATCCTCAATTGTTCAACATCCAAGACCTACAAACGCTTTGTGACTGCCTGGCCGCTCAAGCTGCGCCTACGAATTGAAATGGGTGACGCTTGTGTTTGGCTTGTCGATCGCTATGCAAACAGAGAATGAAGTCAAACGGGCAGGGCGGGCTTTGCCAAACGGCTAAAGCAGAACAGTCCAACAATCAGCGCGAGAAGCCACCTCGTCTTTATTCACCATGACATCAAATGGTGACAATGGTGTCTCAGTCGTGGCGGCTGTGGAGCCATCGCAAGGGCAGCCAAGACAGTCGTGCCGGGCACCATCACGAGGACGTCGAGCCGCATCAAACTCGCTCCGGCACACAAGGAAAAAAAGACAACAAGAAGCACAATACGCACCATCATCGTAGCCAGCGAACGTGATCGCGCTCATCACGTGGCTGCCTTTCTGCCCAAGGACATTTGTCCCTCGACTTCGAGATCAAAGTGCTTTCCTCCCGTGCTGTCTCGGTAGGTGCAGCCTGCAGCGTGGACATGGAGCCAAAAGACCATGTCGGCTTGTTCGGCGTCAGAAATGGTCGCTCGTAGCTGAAGGGTCGAGGAGATGAGATTGACATGACCAACCAGCGAGCTTCCAATGCCCTGGCTGGCAAAGGGTCAGCACACTTTGACGTACAAGCCCAGTTTAGTGGCGCTTTGAACGCACTTCGAAATTTGCTCGTATGCTCGCATGACGTTTTGAAGAGAAAAAAGGTTTGAACGTCGCTCGCTCTTGACATGTGAATAACGACACATATGATTCCAAGAGCAAGCTGCCTCGTGCGTACCCATAATTCTCGGCGTGATATGCGATTCTTGCTCGTCTGCACCCATTTGAGAACCAGGCGGCTCCTCGTGATCCTCCACCAAGTCCCAGGATTTCTTGGATGATGATCACTGTCTTCGTTTGCTGTTATTTGTTGCTGTCTGTCTGGGCTCGCCCCCGCTCGCATCACAGACACACGCGCGCACACACACGCAGACTTGTGCGCGTGGGCAGATTGGCCTTGAGTGTGGGAGCTGCGACACGCACAGTCAGTACCGATGGCCTGGCAAGTCACGGTGAGAAACAGTCTTTCGCGCTATCCGTCTCCCGACCTCACCCGCGCAGCCTCATTGGCCATCATCCCATCAATCTTGTGGCCAGCAACTGCAAGCCCTGGCCTCGGCCCACTTCGACCACAGCAGCCAAGCCCCAGAGCTGTTGGCCACCTGCCGCATCCTCCTGAAATGGAGTGCCCCCTGTGATGAACAAACGCAAGCCCTCACCTACCGCGTCGATCGCCAGTTGCGGGTAAATGTGCGCGCTGCTCGACTTGTGGCGATGCTTGCTTGCACGCACTCATGCTCGGCCACATCGTGGCAGGATGGCCGGACCTGGCACATGGTGCAGGATTTCATCAAGGATAGCTTTGAATGCGTCATCGATGGCCTGCAGCCTGCCCACAACTATCAGGTCTCAGCCCTTTCCCTCCACGTTGCCTCTGCTCGGATTTTATTGACTGTTTGCTTCGCCTTTGTATGGCCAGATTTCTGATCTTTGGCCGTTACTCGGTTTGTGGGTGGCAGTTCCGGGTCATCTGTAAACCCATTGCCAGCGCCACTCCCGGCCCTCCGGTCTTGATCACAGCTCGGTGCGCCCCCACTTATTTTGTGTCAGCGGGCGGCATTTGAAGCCATCGCCTAACCCCCACGCAATGAAATGCCAGGACGAGTGCGCTGCCTCCCAGTACGCCCCCCGCCGTGCAGCTTGCTGCAGCCACCGAAGATAGTCTCACCCTAACTTGGGAAGAACCAAAAGAATGCAATGGCACCATCACCGGCTACCTGTGCGTGATTCGCACCCCTGTTCCGCATGAGACGATCATCTCAATTTCACTGCACCCCTACACACCCGCGACCGTGTTGGTTCAGCCTCTTTCAGGCCTTGCCCGAGGCTGAGGGCCAGCCCTACACGGAACACAGCCTTCCTGCCTCGATGAAAAGTGTCACTCTCAAGTTTCTTCGGCGAGGTGCCACCTATCGCTTTCAGTGTAGGTCAACTTCTGCCATCCAGCACACCTCGCCCGTGCGCTTTTCCGTACCAGGAATCACCCATCGTTCTAACGCACCCAAAACTTGGGAATGAACCGAACATGTGCTAGTAACGGCCCTGAATGCCGCAGGAGAAAGCCCGCCCAGCACTGTGCTGGTCGCCGCCACACGCAAGCCCGTTACAGAACGCTTTACACCCCACGCAGCTGCACGGGCGGCCGTTGATGCAGACCCCGCTGCGCCCGTTGTGGAGATGGCGTCGTGTACACAGATCCGAGTCTTTTCTTCTAGTCCTACCCCACGGCTGAGGGCATCTGAGCATACACCCCAACGTACGGGATTCGTGGCTGTTGCCCCAAAAGTTGAGTCCCGAGCTGCCCCACTTCCTCGAAAGGAGCCAAGCCGTCAGCCTCCAGTCACACCCGCTCCCTCGAAGGACGTCTCGACGACGCTGGCATCGGACAACCCCCTTGGTCCTGCAGCGGTAGACAACCCCCCTATGGTGAAGCCTGTGGACCGTACCTCCACTCGTGGTAAGTCACTCCTTTGCTAGCGGCGCTGCCAAAGGCATGGTCACGCCGAGCGTGCCTGCCAGAGTGCCTCATCAATCGGACCGATAAACCATGTAGGTCCACCGTCCTTGACCATCATGGCTCCTCGGCGCAACACTGGCGGGAGAAGCGGTGATGAAGCTTTCCCTGGCGGCACCCGATCCGCCTTTGAAGAGGTGCGTACACATGCCGTTTGCAGAGGAGATGGCCAGCGCTTGGGTCAGCAGTTGGCTTTATCGGAATGTGCGTGACTGATCGTCTGCTTGACCTGTGACCTGGTTTGGTCTTTCCCACAGCGGCGGTTGGCGTTTGACCAGCCTGTCTCGCAGGAGCAACGGCGATCAAAGGAGAGCGAATGGCATGACAGCATTCGTCGCCGACCCAGCGCCGGACAGCGCACACCCCTGGATATTGCCAGTTTCCACCTCTCGGCAGGCGTGGAAGTTCAGGCGGCCGGCCACGTCGACAAGTTGGTGCACCGCGGTAAGCAATTGGATGGACGGACTGTGCACGCGGGGCCAGGCAAGAGTGAATGCTGCTCACATCGACACGCTGACTTGATCAACAACGGCGCCCAGACCGGACGTTGACGGAGATCAAATCGCTGCAGGGCACGGTGCGCGGTCGGCGTCGAGGCGTGCGTGGTAAGCTTCAAGTCTACTCGGAACAAGGACAGTTGCTGACCGACCCTGTGCTTGGTCGATTGCTGGAGGTGAGGTCACCAGCAGGCGTTTGAGCCACGTGATTCAAAACCGCTACTCTCTCCGTTGAACACATTGCCGAGAATGAAGCCTCACGTCGCGAGAGTCGTGTGATGCCACTGTTGTACAGGAGGAGCGACGAGGGCAGATTGTGATGTACATCACGTCTGTGGCAGCTGTCCGCGAGCGCTTTGAGCGTTGCAAGGAACTGAAGGATGTGCGTACTGCTTTGGAGACAAAGGCAAGACGAGGGGTGGTATTTTGCAGAAGCTCTTATGCGCCTGATTTTGCCGATCTGCACCGGCCAATGGGATGCGAGACAGATATTCTACAAGCTGCGGCTGAAAATACGAACCAAGGACGTGAATTTGGATGCCGGCTTTTATGAGGAGCTGTGCAAACGTACCGGGCAAGCCGATCCACCCGTGCCCCTCGTGTTTGTTAATGGGCACCGCTTCGGGGTGTGTTTGTGTGTGCGCGCGCGTGTTTGTGTAGAGCAACAACCCGACATGCGATCATGCTTGTCCGTCGCCATTTTGCAGCTCACGTGCAGGCTTGCAACTGGGATGGTAGGACTACAATGAGATCCACGGCATGGCAGAGCGTGGGGAATTGCACGAGCTCTTGCAAGGGTTTGAGGTGAGCCGTCGCCCTTTTTGTGTATCCCGCAACTTGCGGTGGATGGGTTGCGTCGTCATAATCATGGGCCTGTACTAACGATAGGAGGGTGCACTGGAAAACTGTGCGACCTGTGGGGGTCATGGCTTTATCAACTGCACCTGGTGCCAGGTATGTCCTCGAGCTCGCTCTCGCTCTCTTCCAACAACAGCTTACCCGTCCTGGGATTTAAATCCGGCAGGGGACGAAGCGAAGCGTAGCCAATCCTTTCACCAAGGAAACGAATCAAAACGCGTTGCGATGTACCGTCTGCAATGAGATTGGCCTGCAGCGGTGCCCCACCTGCTAAACTTCATCGGCTGTGTTCACATGCCATCCACCCTAAACAAGCAAAAAGATGATTTAAATTTGCTCTCACTCTCAAAATTTCTCTCTCTCTCTCTCTTCTCTCTAAATTTCTCTCTCTAAATCTCTCTCTCACTTTTTGGGTCGCACAATCGAATTAAATTTTACGCGTGGCGCAGGCTGTTCATCATGGCGGCGGCAAAGAGTGCAACGACAAGCTGGGAAGCGCTGCTGGAACAGTGTAAAGTGGACGCTGCGGCTGCAGGAGGTGGGTGTTTGCAGGGGTCTAAACCGTGGTTGCTGCGAGATGCTGCGCTGACGCTGAGGTGCGCCGGCTGACCATTGGGACTGCGCAGGCCGCAAGCAGTACCTCTACACTTTTCCGGACAAGAGCGAGATGTTGGAAGAGTACGATGCCAACACTGATCTACTCCTGTGTATGTCCGTGGCGCCCATGCTTTGGTCGTCAGGTCCAGCCGAGAGCGCCCAATGCCGAGGCACTCACTCTTTTCGTGTGACCCTGCTGGGCACGGTTTTACAGTGCGCAAGTTTCGGAAGAAACGCGTGATTGGCGGCGAGGGCTCGTGGACCATCGAGGCCGGCGAAGAGCTGGGGCCGGCACAAGCTCGTGTGGCGGTATGTTCCCCTCTTCGTGGCAGCAGACTATCCTCGAGGTCCGAGCCCGCTCGATCTGATGGGCTGTGCGTGTGTTGCTAGGCGGGCGTGGACATGATGGTGTCAAGCAAAAACGTAGGTGGTGTTTGGCCTGGGATGCTACGCGATCGATGACGCGAGCCAGCGCTCTGGGTGGTCAAGGGTAGAGGAAGAGAGAGTGCAGGCACCGCCAGACTGAACACGATGACAGAAAAAAAACATAGGGCTGTGTGGTCTTTATGAGCATCTCACGGCTGGATGGCTGTAGCCTGCGTTTTCCCGGGTGGACGGGGCCAAAGCCTATCAGTTTCGAATCCGCAACCTGCCCTATCCGATTGATACCTACAAGTCAGAGCCTCTGTCCACCGCCCCCCTGTTTACTTTGGCGGGATCCCTGCTGCCTGATCTGGGACACGATGGGCTGTTGTGCGGAAGCCTGCCCTTGACCTTAATGTTTCCTGCCTGCTTGCCTGCCTGCCTGGTCCCTCGCAGCGTGACTGTTGACGAGGAGAAACAGCAACTCGTATTGCGGACCACGAACAAAAAGTCGGTGTTGTCCGCTGAGACTGCGCTGCGTAGCATGCCTCGGCCCTGTGTCTTCAGGCCGCTTTCGTGCTTGCTTTTGCGTTTGCTCTTGTCCAACTTGCCGAAGCTTCGAGTTCACTTGCGGGGGATTTCCGTAGGTATTTTAAGCGGTTTGAGGTCCCGGACGTGCAGCGGTGCGGCGAAACGCTGCAAGCCAAGAACATTAGTCTTCAGCATGCCAACAACACCCTCGTCATATCGGTGAGTTTTACGCGAGCAGGCTGGTTAAATTTCATCCAGTTGCCTGTTGCTAGTGCCGCACAGCCGGGCTCACGATTGGGGATGGACTTTTGCCATCCACAGTATGCCAAGCCAGCGAGCGCGCTGGCTATGGAGCGCCGTCTGCGGGAGAAGCGACAGGCGATCAAGGTGGACCAGGACGGTGATGTGGGCTGCAACAGCAGCTGATTCAGGCGCCTGAAGCTCTCTTGTGTGAGGATGGGTGGGTGTGGATGCGAGAGTGAGCGAGGCAGATATGGAGGGGACGAGCTGAGTGGTGGGTGGACTGGCGGATAGTGTTCAAAGAATGTTGAATTTTGGCGCAGCCAAAGCAAGAACAACAAGCAATAGACGATGAACAAACAAACACGACGACAAACATCTTTTGGAAGGGCAAAGATGTATTTCCAGACATGGACATGGATCAGAGCTGGCCTGATCGAGAGTGATGAAGAATGGGGGGGACCGAAAGCACTGGTGTGATGCTTGCTGCCTAGGCCAGGGGAGGCTGCAGGAACTGGCGGCCGGAGCGGAGAAAGTCGAGGTTGACGACGGAGACTGGTGTCATGGGTGTGACGGGGCTTGGGCGCGCTGGTAGATATGAATCGGCCTCGCTCTTGGTGCGACGACGTGTGGCCTGCAAAAGGAGACGCGGCACGGGGAAGAGGCCACGCACACACACACACACATACACATGTGCGCGGGGAAGGCGGAAGGAAGGGTCTGGTGAGAGGCGGCGGGCAGCACACCACAGGCACAATGGGGGACAATGGGGAGGGCGAACATACTTCGGCAACGGCCAGCAGCGTCTTCTCGTAAAAGCTTTGCAAGCGTTGCGAGTCCGAGCGGGGGCGCGATGTGGGAGGTGCGAGCTGGTCCATTGTTTCGGGTGTCGTGTTGGGCATGGCGCGAGACCGCGCTGCGGGCGATGAGAAAACGGGGGGAGGGAGGGAGTTGCGGGGATATGAGCTAGGCAGAGAAGAGTGGAGGGGTTGTCAACGGAGCAAGGGGCGCACCGAATTGCTCGCCGCTACGGATGAAATCGAGGTTGATGGCGGTGGGTTGTTTGATGGCGGGTTCACGAATGACGAGGCGTGACTCGATGAGCGGGGCTGGGGTCCGTTGACCAACGGCGGGGCCTTGGATGGTCGACATGGTGCTGGGGTCGGGGCCAAGCTGACACCGACGCCGACGCCGTGGAATAGGGCAAGAACCGGTGATCCAGACAGGCGAGGCAGGAGGCAAGCAAGCGAGGGAAAAGGCAACAGCGATTTGGGATCGAGTTGGAGGGGAAATTGCGGGGCGGCTGGCGTGTACCAACGGCAAGAATGGCGAAGCAGCGCGTCCGGGTGCGTGTGTTTGTTTGTGGGTGTGTATGGGGGGTGACGATGGGCTGTTGATGTGAGCAAGAGGGTGTTGTTGCCCCAACCAAGCCCTTTCGAGGGGTTTAGACGAGCCGACCCAGAGCTTCGGGCTGGATGGTCAGTCGGAAGAAGCGATTCCTCGTGACAATGAATACTCGGCAGCGCGGTCCGCGTTTGACCACAACAACAAGTGCTGGTGATCCGTGCGATCCGAGCAGCGCAACGAGCCAACGAGCAAGGGCGTCAGGGTGAACGGAACGGTCCAGCTGCTGCTGCTGCTGCTGCTGTTGATGATGTTGATGTTGATGTTGATGTTCAAGGGACAAATGGTGTTGCTCCAAGGTCAGGGCACACTCACTTACTCAGGGAGTCATGGGCGCTTGGGGCGAGAGACAGAGGGACGGGGAGGAGAGATTGATAGAGATGAAGATGAACAAGGCATGCATAGGACAGAAAACACACGTAAACACCTAGGCGAGCAGAGATGGTGAGGAATAGTGGGACCAAGGCAGAGACGCGATGCGGCGTTGATGAAACCATACACAGACACACGTATCTCCTGTTTCGAATTACGTCATACCAGCAACATCGAGACGGATCCCATTGCATCACCCTTGCTTCATCGGAAACGTCAGAGTGCCGAATGTCAGATCATTTGTCAGACAGACAGCTTCTTTGCGGTCGCTTCTATGTCAGACGAAATGTCGTGCTGTTGAAAATGACTGTTGAAGACGGGGTGTCTTTGGGCTCGAGTACACAATCATCTCTACGTGATAAACAGGGTTAAAACTATTCAAAAGCAGCCCCTTGCATCAACCCCCCTCATCACACAAACTACCAAGTGTCAATGCTCCCCTGACACCTGCCAGACCCTTGCACCTGACCCGCTTCTCTGGTCCGTGTCACACTCTACTGGCATCTCTCTCATCTACTGTACATGAGCCCTTTAAGATTCCACCACCACCCTCTGCTTCGCTCGCTCTCTCTGCGGAACCCACCGTCTCAAGCCTTGCCTCTGCCCAGCCGATTCCGTGAGCGCTGCCCTTCACACCCTTTGCACTGGCTATTTTTTCCTTTTGTTTCCCACAAAAACAGGATAAGATGGCAACTCGCGCTGTGATGGCTGCTCGCACCATGCGTGCCTCGGCTCAGGCCATGCCCCTCCGTGCTGGCCTCAACGAGCTCAAGCCCGGACAGGTACGCCTGGTCGCCTGGTCGCCTGACTAGCCAATGCCCCCCGTGTCTGCTTGCCACATGCATGGGGAAAGGCCGCTTCCAACGCTTTTTCCAAAAACAGACCGCCGCTCACCCGTTTCCCCCGCTGCTGGTGCTCCGTCCCTTGTCGACCTTTGGTGGCCCGCCCTGTGACCCGATGCTGATGCACAGGCTCTGCCCTTTGCCCATGGCCCCGCCAACAAGGGCCGCGTCGCGACTTACATCACCCTCTTTAGCGTCGTTGGCTTTGCTGCCCCCTTCATCATTGCCAAGTGGACGTGAGTGATGCTCTTGCCCGATAATTTTTTTCATGCCACAGCTTTCCAAGGGGAGGGGAGGGGCTTTGACCCCGTGATGTCTGGCGCGAGGCCTGTCGCTGTGGCCGTGTGCATCAGCCTGGGCCTTGCCCTGCACATTTACACACGAGCCACGCCCTTAGTGCAGGCGCGCCGACTCGATTTGATGATGCACTGAATTTTGTGCCTCCGGTATGCATCTCACTTGTCTCTGATGCCTGGTTTCCTTGTCTCCTTGTAGTCTGAACAAGAACAACCGTCACAACAAGTTCTTTGGTTAAGCTGCTTTACACCCGGGCTTGCCCTGACCGCTTAGACATGTTTTCCCGTTGCTCGTTTCCTCCCTTCCCCATCATTTTCTACTTGTGTCCCGTTTGAAGTTTTGCCCTGTCCTGGTGAAGCCTCGACATGCAAACACGATCACAATCAACCGGGCTTCGCCGCGGCTCTTTGGAGGCCAAGCTGGATGGCTGCTTCTGCTTGCTCTGATGGCGAGATGAGGGCGTACCTAGTCTCTCTCGAATGGAACAATTGTGAATGCCTCTTGCCTTTTGATGGGTGGCACCCTCCTCTGTTCTGACTGGTGAAGATGACCGCAGCATCTAGTTTTTGCTGTGCGCTTGCTCTAGCCCGCGCCTTGATCCCAACCCAAATTTATCGTATCGTGCATTCGCATCGCACACCCAAAGTGCTTTCTTGTTTTGAGCATTTGTCTTGTTTGTTAACCACTGGCGCATCTCCCGACTGACTCTGCCGACGGATCTCATTTGTGACTTATTAGGGCTGAGGGTCTTCCATACTTACGAACTGACTATGAGTTCATACCTTACACTGCTTTGTCGACTGACATGTGAATTCAGAGAGAGAGAGAGAGAGCGAGGGCATTTTCTTTGATACAAAGTCAATTTTTGATGTTGGGTTAAAAAAGCACGTTATTGAGGTTCCATCATGTGTCTCGTCGTTCAAGCTTGCAAAAAGCAAGACACTCGAGGACACTTAGTTGCCAGCGCGCTCGGCCTTAATGTCACTGCCGGAAAGGAAAGCAAAGACACAAGATGTGAGTCGGGAGAAAAAAGATGACAATTCAAGATCCAGGGCTAGTTCGGGCTAGACCAGCCCAACCCAGTGGAATCACAAGCAACGACTTGCGTGACGTGGGACTTACTCGGCCGTGGGAAGCGATTGCTTCACGACGGGCTCGGTGTGCTTGAGCTTCGCCTTGTCGAAACCCTCGACGGCCTTGAGATCGGGCTTGTCAGACATGATGAAGGTGTGGTTGAAGTTGAAAGTATATCAAAAGCTATAATACAACACCAAACGGCCAAACAAAAATGAGCAAGCGGGCAGTGATCTGAAATGGCAATCATGACAGTCCAACACAACAGGTCACAAGCACATACTCAGACATGACAACACAACACAACAACAATGACCACGACTCGGCAGCAAACCCAAAAGAAATCAATGAAAAGGCAGGGCAGACACTCACAACAACAACAACATTCTTAACAACAAGGATAACAACAATGCAATGATAATAATGCCGAGGCGTGCCAATGGCAGTCACGATCGAGCATCGAGAACCAGACCCTGCCTGATCAGTGGCAGGACAGTGCCAGTCAGTGGCAGTGGAGCCAACATGTTCAGTCGCAGTGTTCTTACCAGTCGAGTCGTTCTAGAAAAATGCCAGTGGTGTCTCTGGCGTTGCCACCTGTACCACTGTGCAACCTGATCTTGTTTCTCTAGTGGCCGTGATGAGCTCCGCCCACTGAGACAAAGCAGGAGGGCTTGTCTTCGTTTTGTTTTGTTTTGATGTTGGTGTTACTGTTGTTGTGACTGTTGTTGTGATGTGTTGTTGCTGATCAGATCAGTGAGATACAGCTGAGCCATACACACTCCACTGCCATAAGGCAACAAGGTAAGGTCAGGTCGTAAGGGAGAACAGCAGCAAGCGTTTCTTCGCTTTTCTTCGCTTTCTTTTTTTTTCGGGTGCGTTGACGATGAACCAATGACACGTCGACGTGTTCCGCATTCCTTCAAGCTCCGCGCTTGCCCAATCCTTACAAGCGAGAGAGAGAGAGGGGGGGAGAGTGGGCCCCTTCTATCTATTGTAAGAGGACTTGAGGCAAGCAGTGGCTGTTGGTGGTGATGACGGTCCAAGCTTGCCCATGCAAAAACCCCTTATCAAGAGGGGGGTAGGGTCCGCCGGAGCGCAAATTAGCCAAAGGTCGCCTGTATCGGCGGTGGTTAGTACATTTGTATAGTTTGTCAATGAATTTCTTCGCTCAAATTATTCAAAATCAACTGCGGACGTGGTCTCGGAAAAATCACAGTTCGTTGATTCATGATCTTCGTGCGCCCTTCGCTCGAGCGAGCGCCCATGGAAGACCCTAGCAAACTGACCAACTGCAAGGAGATTCGAGAAGACTGGGAGACTGAGGAGACTGGGAGACTGGGAGACTCGTACTAAGATTTAATGTGTTTGGACATCGGACAGGATTCTTGTCCCGCGAGGACTGGCGAGCCTCCTTCCTAGTCAATGACAGAGAAAGCATGAGGACTGGGCGCGAGCGCTCACTTCAAGAAGTCTTCTTGCCTCGTCCTCGAGCTGAACAGACAAAGGCTTGGCATACTCTGGGACATGGGCTGGAATGGTCGGCAATCCAGACGCATTTCTGTGTCGCGTTTCGAATCAGTCATGCATCTGAAAAAGAATCGATTACTCAAAATCACACTGCTCCACCCAGCCCAAACTAAAACTGCCCACCAGGCCCGTCCAGTTGGTCCCCTTGAGCACCAAGCAAGCTAAAACTCTAGCGCCTGCCACAAAATCATCTGTACCTCTCATGCATCCAATCATAAAAAAAAAACACCCCGTCCGAACAAAACAAAACAAATCAAATACACCCCAACAAGTAAAAGCCTTGCAGCAGCGGCGACGAGCTCGCTCTCAAGCCAAGCTGGCCGTGTTCTCATCGCCCAGCGCCATATTGGGGGCCGTGGCCCAGAAACGGCGAAAGTTAAACTCTCGAAACACGTTTTCATTGACCACAGGTGCGTCAACATGCATGCGCTTCAGGCTGGGTTCGGCCATCGATTCGTTGGCACCTGCTCGTGAGCCCGGGCCACTGTTCTCTCGGCCCACCTTGGGAGTCCAGGGCACCGGATTGGTGCGATCCCAAACCGTGCCCGTGAAGAAAGGGTGGGCCATAATGTCCGAAACGCCTTGTTCCGACCCAAGGCGATGCTCAACGTCACAGCACAGGCGCAGAATCAGATCCGTAGCGGCAGCCGAGTGGTTGCTATCAACAGCCACCCGCAATGTCTGCCGCCAGTTGATGACCCGATCGCGCGTGGCCAGTGGCGTGGGCGCCGAGAAGGGTGGCTTGCCAATCAACATCTCGTACAGCATGACGCCCAAGGACCACCAATCGCACCGCTCGTCGTATCGCTGGCGCAGGAAAACCTCGGGTGCAATGTAGTTGGGCGTGCCCACCAGCGACTCGGCCATACTACGCGTCTATGGCCCGCCGAAAAAGCAAAAGCAAAAGCAAAAGCAAAAGCAAGGTAAGAAGGCCAAAAGAAAACACACAAAGGGGGACGGGGCCGAAGCGTCGCACGATGCACGATGCACCAGCGAGGCCACACAAGAGACACAAGACGCGTGCAGGTGCGCACATATCGACCCCATCCAGCTTACGTTGTTGTGCAGGAGATAGCGCTGCTTGCGTGCGGCCGCACCGCACGAGCAAACTTGATGCGTGCAGGTACAGCCGATGAGTTCGGCCTGTTCATCAATGGGCGCTGTATCCACAGCGGCAAAGTTGTAAAAGCTTTCCTCCTTGCGCCACTTGAAGCCGGTGCAGAGACCAAAGTCAGCCAGCTTGATATGCCCCTCTGCATCTATCAGCACGTTGTCCGGCTTGATGTCGCGGTGGATAAACTGCATGTTGTGGACCGAGGAAACGGCCATCACGAGCTCGGCCATGTAAAAGCGAGCCGCCTCCTCGGGAAAGACGCCGTACCGGTTGAGTAGTTCCAGTAAATCACCCCCGGGCAGATACTCCATGGCAAAGTACAGGTAGCGCGGGTCTTGAAAGGAATAGTGCAGCTTGACCACCCAGTCACTGTCGGCCTGGGCCAGGACATCGCGCTCAGCGCGAACGTGCGAAACCTGACGGCGGTCGATAATGTCTTGCTTGGACATTTGCTTCAGCGCGTACACCTGATTGTCCTCGGTGCACTTGGCCAGTGAGACGGTACCAAAGGCCCCTTGGCCGATGGCGCGAAGCACGTGAAACATGTTGAGGGTGATGGGTTGGCGCTGACGCCGCAGGTGATTGGTCTCCAAGCGCATGAGGCCAGCCCGCACTTGGGCCTTTTCCCGATCCAGAAGCTGGTACTGGTTCATTTCCTCTTCCAGATCTTGACGTCGGCGAACGCGGTCCACGCGCACACGATGCATGTGGCGATAGTGCTGGCGCAAGTGGTACTTGCACGCGCTGGCCTTTTCAATCGTTTCCTCGGAAAAGGTCAGCAGATCGGCCTCCACGGCGTCGTCCAGGGGTTGATACAGAGCGGCCTGGGTGTTGACCACCACCGATCCCGACGAGTCGCTGCGTGGACGCGGGCGGGCCCGAGCGGCAGGATCGGTCGCCGGCAGGCTCGAGTCCATGTCGGCATCCAGCGAATGTGAGTCCTCGAGGTCGAGGCTCAGCAAGTTGAGGGTAGTGGCACTCAGCTCGCGTTGCAGCGCATGGTGTGGCGAGTGAGCTTGCGGGGGTGTGGCGGCGGGGACAGTGGCACCCGCGGCGGTGGGGGGCGGCGCAAAGGGAGAATCGTGATGAGAGCGGGGGGAGGACTCGACCGAAGCTTGCAGGTCAAAGCTGCCGGTTGATGAAGTTGGTTGAGTGAGCGGCCCCGCGGTGCGCCCAAGGTCTTCGCTACTCGAGGAGGTATTTGCCGCACCATGATGGATGGTGGCGGCCCGACCAGCGGCGACGCCGCGGCGGAGGCGATCCTGATGCTGGTCGCGCGGGTAGAGGGCCTCTGGACCGCTGGGGCTCACAATGTAGTTGTGGCCGTTGGGGAAGGGGTAAGTGGTGATGTGGCTCATCTGCTGGCGCTCCAAGGACGCGACAATCTGTTCGAGGAGGGCCAAGTCGGCGCGAAAGCTCTTGCTGGAGAGCAGGCGCTTGCGTGGCTGGCGTAGCTTGAGAGATTCGGCACTTCGGCGTACAGAGAGCTCAAGCAACTGCGGAAAGGAAGCGCCCGGATGTTCAACGAGCGTTTCCATTGCAATGCCCTGAGTCCAAGGACGAGGTGGGAGGGCGACGGTGAGGGGATGGGCGTTCAAAGGACCAGGAAGAAACAACCACGAGGGGGCAGGGGCTGCACACATGCACACACCTCATCAATGCCGAGCTTGCTCAGGCGACGGCAACAGGCTTGCAGCTGTGTGGAGGGAAGGGAGCGCGTGTGGCGACGCGAGAAGCGGTGGTGAGGATAAGAGGCATGCGAACAGGTGTCTGGGGCAGCCGCGGGCAGCTGGACTGCCAGGAGCGTGAGGCCCATGATGCGTAGGAAGATGGAGCCGAGGGGTGGAACCAAGGGCAACCGGGAATGGGGTGCCCTGGCCGTGGAATGAAAGAGCGAGGGAGGCGAGGAGGCGGGGAGAGAAAATGCGGGCGGCTCGAGGAGCGGCAGTCATATGAGGAGTGGAGCAACAACCCACCTCTTTAGGTGAGACGGTGGGCAACGAGCTGGGGTCGACGAGCGCCGGCAGCTCTGCCTCGGCTGTGTACCCGGCCATTGTATCGGCTCGAGGCGACGACCGTTACAACCGCGACAATCTAGCGTGGGCTGTGCGTGGTTGACACCACAAGCAGCAAGAGCGCACGCACGCACGGCGGGCAGGGCACCCTTGACTGTGCAGGCCAAATGTCCAAAAAGCACCAAAGGCTTTGTTCGAATTCAGACCGCCATTGTTTCCGATTTGACACACAAAGGGGAGCGTCGCGTGGTCCGCTGTTGCGAGTCAAAGGGGAGAGGAGGGAAGTGTGAGGAGGAAAGTGATGAGGAGCAGCCGAGGCGGGCAGCTGAGGAGGGCTGCGGCGGTCAACAAGGCAAGAAATGCCAAGTTGGATGGAAAGGGAAGACAAGCGGGCTGTGGGAGGGAAAGGAGGAGGGCAGGGAGGGCTGTTTTGGGGTCGTGGTGGAGGTGGTGATGGCGGTTGAGCTGACGGCTGGTGGCCCGAGCTGAGCAAAGAGGGACGGTCGTGGGCGAGAGGAGGAACAATGGAGTGGGCAAGGGGGAGAGCGAAGCAAGCAGGCACACAAGCGACGTCGAGTGCGCTAGAGTCTTCAAGGCTGAGGCGGACAGACTTGTGCATGCGTGCGCCCGAGCGTGCGTGCGAGCTTCCGAGTGACGGTGTATGTATTGAATGTGAAGCAGGGGCAAGGGACAGCCGGAACTGCTCGGGCTGGCCCCACACGCACAGCAACAACGAGGGTGGAACAAGCAAAAGGCAGGGGGAGGGAAGGGGGCTCGAGGCACGGCTCACCCAACAAAGCAAAGGCAAGGCAAGGCAAGGCAAGGCAAAGGAAAACAAGGGGCTCGGGCAGCGACAGCGCGTCCAAGCCTTGTGTGATGGTGGTGATGATGATGATGATGAAGGTGCTGATGATGAAGGTGATGAAGAGGTGATAGGGGTGGGGATGGTGGGATGGTGGGATGGGGATGGGGATGGGGAGCCAGCCAGGGCAGGGCAGGCGGCGCAACAAGATGGCACGGGCTATACACACACACACACACACACACACACACACACACCTGTTTCGACCGCGTCAGCTCCTCCTGTCTGTCAGTCGGTTAGTCGGGCGGTGTGTCTCGTTGGCCCCACCGCTCGTGGCGCGTGACAAGGCACAATCTATCCAGCCCCAGACACCCAGACAATGAAGATGATGATGAGGATGAAGAGTGAGAGGGGGAAGAGAGAGAGGGAAGAGGGAGAGGGAGAGAGAGGGCAGGAGCGAGCGCGCGCGCACAGTGATGGCTGGTTCAAGGCCTTGGCGCCCAAATTGATTTGCCAACACACACACACACACACACACACACACACACAATGAATGCAATTCCACACACTACACACACTACACACTACAGAAACAAAGGGTCTTAGTGTAAAAGCGTTTCTTGACAACAACAACAACAATGTAATGTAACGAGCTAGCTTACATGTTTAAACCTGTTGAACTGCTGAACAAGTGTGTGTAGATGGGATGATGGGAAGCATGCGTCAAGGGGGGGCATTGTATTGTACAAAGGGAGAACAATAAGGAGAACAAGCGTGTGACGAAACACCACGGTAATACAATGGTGTGTCTTGAGGGGTATAGGTGTGACGGATTCATGCGGCTGGACGTGGAAATGGGGCTGATGGGTGTGGTCTGCCACGAACGTGTGTGGTCGAGCATGGGAAACAATTGGGGTCGCGAATAACCATACAGCCAACCAGCATGAATGCAAACACGGCCAAACCGCTTACGCCAATTGCCTTGGATTACGTGTGCCGGTTCATGTCATGCTGACAATTCAAACCCCCCCCCAATCCCACAAACAGGGCTTCGACAAAGTCGCCCAAAGGTGTTGGATGGCTTGCCTGGGACTGCCCAATCGCGCGCAGTGCGCACGCTCGCTCGGTCGGACAGGTCAAGACCTTGACGCTGCCGGTCCCCTTCTTGCCAGGAATCCATAAAATAACAAAAATACAAAAAGAACAGAACCCCCAAAGGTGTCATAGATGCCATCCATCCATCCCACCAAGCCGCGCATAGGTCTTTTGCAAAACAAACAAACCCATCCATTGTTGCGTCATCATGAACCATCAACACGAGTTTGTTGCTTGCTTGCTTGCAGTTTTATCCACGCGAACCCAGTGAAGACTTTGTCCCCTGTTGAAAGTATTTTACTTTTTTCTTGGTTTTCCAACGGACTCGCCCCTAATGTAGAATGCCCTAAGAGCCGAGGTGGCTCTGAGCTCTCGAGCAGACAGTACCGTACGTTGCTCGCTCTTCGCTGTCTCTTCTCTCCCCTCGCATCTCTTCACTTGGAACATGCACAGGCTGGCGCGATGAGCTGTGCTAAGAAAGCGCATTGTGGCATTGAGGCATTTGACGGAAGGACGTCAACGATGAACTCGCGCCAGACCCTGGAGCGCCATTCCGGGCCGAGTCCCTCGAGCTGCTTTCCCCCTATTTCTGGCCTGGGTTCGGATGAGAGGCCACTTGGAGTTGCCGTGTCAGGAAGAAAACCGTGCTGCTGAACAGTCTCTTGCTTCCACGGCGACGCACACGGCGCACAACGAGGCGTGCATTCAGGAGCACTGCGCCGGCAAGCTCCGAGTCGGGGCCGAAGGCGCTGCGGAGATTGTGCTGACCACCGAGGACTCCGAGAGCAAAAACACCCTGCACGGCGTTGCCAAGAACGACGGTCGTATTACCAACACGGTTACGGGCCGGGGGACTTTCACGCTGCGGCGGTATCGTGGCAGTCAGCCGTTGGGTACAGGGGCGATGCAGGGTCCAAGTGAAGGACGATGGGCGTGTGATTTGATACAATCAATTGAAAGCGAGTTTAGACACGCGGGTGGTCACGGAACGCTATTCTCGAAGCAAACACATTGCATCCGTGTAGTGGACGACAATCGGGGAGTGCACAAGGTGGTCGGTTAAACACAAAGTTCGAGTTGAATGGATGAATCAACACAGCGATCGACGTGTCGCAAAGGCACACGAGTTCACACAGCTGACCGCCGCGAGTTGGAAGTCTCGCCCTGCATTCCCTGCAGGATTTGGCACAATTGCTCAGCCGCCATCACCATGTCCTCCTTTGAACGTTCAAGAAATCGGAGGCCTTGCGGGGCAGTCGGGTCGGGTTGGCGCCGAGGCAGGGCCGCGACGTCCACACCTGCCCTCTCTAGTTGCTCGCAATACCCCGAAAAGACGTACTCAAACGCCCGCGACATGCTCAACTTGCGCCTTCCATCGCCTGTTGCAAGCCGGATCTTTGTAACACCGCCAGGCATCGCACAATTTGCACGCAGCTTAAAGGCGGCCTTTGCTGCCTGATGCATGCGAACAAGTAGGGCCCATACCTCTTTCGTGTCTGTCGCTAGGTTTACAAAATGTCTGTAAAACTCCTGCACGTTCTCCGACAAATGTAGCTGCATGTCGAAATGGCTCACGCCACGAAGATACTCCCGCACGTGTTTTGCCAGGCTCGGGTTTTCCGAAGCATGAACTTCCACGACTAACTTTGGGAAGTGGATGATGGCTTCATCGAGCTCGACTTCTCGCTCCTCTGACCCCTGACGGGGCGTAGCGCGGCAGACAACCCACGATGCCTCATCAAAGGGTGGTAAATGATCGCCGCCCAGCTCAGCCATCCACGCGGCCCGGTCAGCGGGCACCGTGCCGAGGTCAAATGCCTGCTTTGCCGTGATTGGCCCGTGACTCTGCTCGCGGAGGTAATACACCACCACCACCTCCATGTCCGTGACACGATCAAAGTTGAACTGAAAAGGCGTTACCACAACCACAAGTGCACGCAGCGTTGGATAGCGCCGAAAAAGGACGTGGCCTTGCCGCCGGCTTGCCGTCGCGTTGCGATTGCCCATCTCGAGCTCAATGATCAGAAGCGGTAAAGGATTTCGCTTCGTATCTTCTGCTGTCACAGCAACGTCTGGGGCGTCGCCAAAATGACTGATTGTTCCATCTCCAGTGACAGTCAAACGCCGTTCCTTCACGCCCTTATTGTGTGACGTTTTGAAAACAGACAGTTGTGAGTGCGCATCCCCGGCAGCAGCGGCGTGCACAAAGGACGTGGCGCAGGTGATGAAGAGCTTGCGCGCGTCGTCGTCAAAGAAGAATTTGGCGCCGTGAGCAGCCGGCTGCGTCAGATCCGGGCAGCGATCGACGTTGTAAGCCACCACCAGCCCCTCGCCGTGGACGCCGTAGTCATGGGCGTGCTGCACGGCCTTTTGCAGGACGTCGGAGTTCACGCCGTCCCTTGAGGCGTCCACAGCCTCAAACTGCTCACTGCCATCTATGTCTGCTGTGATACAACAGGCGCCAAAAAGTGCGATGAGAAACCACTTGTAGCAAGACAAAAGTACAACGCGACGGGACAAACCTTGGTCATTTCTCTCCAGACCTTCCACGTCCCGCTCGTCCTGCTTGCCCTTTTTCTGTGCTTCTTGTTTCATCTCCACATTCGCGCCGCTTGTGCCCGTCAGATCTGTGGCCCGGACGATGCCTTGCTTGAGTTGAAAAAAATCCACGACTCTCCGTATGCCTCCATCCAACCCATACCTTGCTTGACGGCGCCAGCATCCTGGCTTGCAGTGCCGCCCGTGGCGGCCGCCGTTGAGGCAGTGCCTGGGATCAAAGTTTGTGAGATGTATCCCGAGCAAGGCCCAACCATACCTTCATCCAGCACATACCTTGCTTGGCGGCGGCGGGCTCTTGGCTCGCAGTGACGCCCGTGGCGGCGGCCGCTGAGGCAATGCCAGGTTCAAAAGAAATGTGAAACTTCACAAGATGCGTCCCACTACAAGCCCCATTCAGGCCCCGACCATGACATACCTTGCTTTCGCGCCTTGCAGGCGCGCTTGGGTTTTGGGGCGCCGTCGTCCTGCTTCTCCTGCTTCATTGCGGTTGCACCTACGGCGATAGGCGGGTCTCACGATGAAACCATCTCGTCCACGAGAGCAGAAAAAAAGCATGCGCTGATGGTTGTCAACAAAAGTTTCATGCCGGCGTCGGCAGAGGGCTGTCTAATCTTTCTCACTGGAAACCACCGTGGCAAAGATGAGTCTCAACAAGCACATGCCCACCAAGCAAACCCAATTCAAGCACATCCACAATCGACGCGCTGACCCTTCGTTTTAATGTAATAACGTCGGAAATGGTCCTCTTCCTTGTTCAATTCGGGCTTGATCAATTTAAAAATCCTTGAGCTGCCACACGGGGTGCAGGGTCTTTTCCAGTTCATTCAGCATCCACTCGAAATCGTGATCGTGATCAAGCCTGGTGGTGGACCAAATGTCGGTGCAGTGTGGGGGCCCGTGTAGTTGGCAAGGTCGCTTTCCAGAGCCGCCTTGACTTGTTGTGGTAGCTGGCCAGACTTTTTGTGAAATGCGAAGAAGCGCGCTCGTTGACAGCCAACAGCGCCAGCCACGGGCACAAAAATCTTGTTTAGGGGATCTGCCGTTTCGCAGGCTACGGATCGTTTACTTAGAGGCTGTCCTCGTGTAAAAGGGTGTTTGGAAAAGCATAAATCTGTGTCATTACAACATGTTTCAAGCTCTCTCTCTCTCTCTCTCTCAAGCTCTCTCTCTCCCAAGCTCTCTCTCTCAAACTCTCTCTCTCAAACTCTCTCTCTCAAACTCTCTCTCTCTCAATCTCTCTCTCTCTCTCAATCTCTCTCTCTCTCTCTCTCTCTCTCTCTCTCAATCTCTCTCTCTCTCTCAATCTCTCTCAAACTCTCTCTCTCTCTCAAACTCTCTCTCTCTCTCTCTCAAACTCTCTCTCTCTCAAACTCTCAATCTCTCTCTCTCTTCAAGCTATCTCTCTCTTCTCACTCTCTGTCTTCTGCAACTGCGCAGTTACAAAAAAAAAGTCTCTCTCGGGACAGCTCGTCGGATGGCTGTCGAAGACGGGGATCTCTCAGCTGGGATTTGGATTTGCACGGTGGTGGGTTGAGCCGCGACACAACGACCAGCTGCTCTGTGGTGCCTCTACGCCTCCCTGACTCTCTGCCCGGGGTTCACGTTGGCTCAAATTGTAGAATTGAGAGACAGCGACGAGAGCCACGAGCCAGCTGTCAAGACCCTCCCAAGATGGCCGCGCCCATGCGTCTGGGCGCAGCAGCAACCTTGCGCCGACTTTTGCGACCAACGCGAGCAACTGCCCTTACGTCTTTTGCGCCCGCTCCCGCCAAGCTTCACACTGCCGGTATGTGCACTGCAACCAAGCACCCCGAGACACGTCCTCGCCAGCCCAGGCGGCCCCGGCGCCTCATCTCGCACCCACACACACGCTTTCCCACACCCCCTCCTCCACACAAACCCTCTTCCCCTCTCTCACTCGCGCCTGGGCGTTCAACTTGGTAGCACCCCGAGCGCACGGCGGCTACGAATGGCAAGACCCAAAGTCGGAGGATGAAGTGTACGTCGCTGGCTCACCTTCCTGCACCACACTCCCGCCTCTCTGTTCTCTGTGCCTCCCTTTTCTCTACGCCCTGGGTACCCTCACGCTCACGGTCCTGCAGCGTCAATTTTACATTCGTCAAGAGGGACGGCGAGCGTGTACCAATCCGTGGCAAGGTGGGCGACAACGTCCTGTACCTGGCCCACCGCTACAACATTGAACTTGAAGGCGCCTGCGAGGCCTCCCTGGCCTGCTCCACCTGCCATGTTTACGTCAGCGAGCCCCACTTTGACACCCTTCCGGAACCCAAAGAAGAGTACGACCCAGTCGCAACGCATTCACCACACACAGCCCTGCACATCCCCTTGCTTTTCCCTTTGCCATTTCGCCCATGATTCTCATCGGCCCACTTCACCGCCGTTTCTCAAAATTCAGGGAGGATGACATGCTCGATCTCGCTGCCCTCCTCCGCGACAATTCCCGTTTGGGTATGTTGTCCCTGGGCTCATCCGCCTTGCACCTAGCCATTGCCTGAGCGTGCTGGACCCTCACCCCGCTGCATCCCGCGCACCGTTCAGGCTGTCAAATCATTCTCAACCATGACCTTGAAGGCATGGTCCTAACCCTGCCCGAATACACCCGAAACTTTTATGTGGATGGCCATGTTCCTCAACCCCACTAAATTTAAAAATCCCTTGCTAACGGAACTCGATTCAATCCTGTCTACCAACACCCATCGCCCGCTTCTCCGTCCCGCATGTCCACCCAAGTCACAGGAACGCTTGATATGAAAGGCGGAAGGCCACGTGTTGTACCACTTGCCTGCCTCACCAATCAATTCATACACGCAGCTTCTCCGGCCAACGCGGCGTAACAATGCTTGCCAGCTCTAACAATGCAGCATAATCTGGCTGAACAGACCGTCCGCCACGATAATGGCTACTCCAGCCGACACCACGGCCGACGTGATCGCACTGGCCACATTGCGCGGTTGCAAGCTAGGTCGGCTGTCACCATTACCCACCGGATCATGCAAGCGTGAGGATCCGCTCCTCACCAACAACCCACACACCCCTTCAGGCCTGGTCACATACCGTGCACGCCATTCAGCGCAGCCCATGATGATGGCCGTAAATGTCAGCGACCGGTAAAACAACACAAAGGGTGGAAAAGTCTGCAGCACGTTTCCAGCAAACGCAAAACACCACACAAGCTACATGAGCACCGCTTCCGGCTCCACGTAAAACGGGTTGCCAAGCCACGCA